TTGTTGATTCTTTGTATTGTTTTCTTTGTTTCAATTTCATTAATTTCTGCCCTGATTTTTGTTATTTCTTCTTGTCTGCTTGGTTTGGGGTTCATTTGCTGTTGCTTTTCAAGTGTCTTGAGATGTTACGTCATTTATTTGTGTTCTTTCTGATTTTTTGATATAGGCACTTAAAGCTATATACTTCCCTGTAAGGACCACTTTCAGCGTGTCCCAGAGGTTTTGTCGTGTTGTATTGTCCTTTTCATTTAATTCCAGGAATACTTTTATTTCTTTCTTAATTTCTCTTTTGACCCGTTCATCATTCAGGAATGTATTGTTTAATCTCCATGTGTTCATGTGGTGATTAGGGCTTCTTCGGGTGTTGATTGTAACCTTTATTGCATTATGGTATGATAGAATGCATGGAATTATTTCAATCTTTTTGTATTTGTTGAGGTTTGTTTTGTTCCCCAGTATATGGTTGATTTGGGCGAAGGTTTCATGGGGTGCTGAGTAGAAAATATGTCCTTTGGTTCTTGGGTGAAATACTTGGGAGATGTCAGTTAGGTCCATTTGATATATAGTATTGTTTAATTCAGATGTCTCTCTGTTAACTCTCTGCCCTGTTGACCTATCTAGTGGAAACAGTGGAGTATTGAAGTCACCTACTATTAATGTGTTGGGGTTAATCTGGGTCTTAAAGCCCTGTAGTATTGTTTTTATGAAGTTGGGTGCACCAGAGTTTGTTGAATATATGTTCATGATTGTAATATCTTCTTGATTCATTATTCCTTTGATCAAAATGAAGTGGCCCTCTTTGTCTCTTCTGATTAATTTTAGTTTAAAGTCTATTTTGTCAGATATTAGGATTGCTACGCCTGCTTTTTTCTTAGTGCCATTTGCTTGGTATATTTTTTTCCATCCTTTCACTTTGAGATAGTGTCTGTCCTTAAAAGTGAGATGATTTTCTTGCAGACAACAAAAAGATGGGTTTTGTTTCTTAATCCATTCACATACCCTGTGTCTTTTGGCTGGGGAGTTCAGTCTGTTAATATTTAAAGTTGTTAATGAAAGATGGGTGTTGAATCCTGTCATTTTTATTTCTGTTTACTTTCTTGATATAGCTGTACCTTTCCACAGTTATACCTTTATTGAATTTCTTTCCATAATCCCTTGGGTATTAGTCATTCCTTTCTTCAGCTCTTTGTATTGCTTTTAGAACTCTCTGGAGTGCTGGTTTTGTGGACATGAATTCCTTCAGCCTATTTATGTCATGGAAGATTTTTCTTTCCCCTTCGACTATAGTAGACATTTTGGCTGGGTATAGTAATCTGGGTTGGCATCTGTGGCCATTTAACACTGGGAATACTTTGGTCCAGGCTCTTCTGCCTTTCATAGTTTGCACTGAAAAGTCAGCTGTAATCCTAATGGGTTTTCCTTTATATGTGACTTATTGTTTCTCTTTTGCAACTTTCAGAATTGTTTCTTTGTTTTGTACTCATGAGTGTCGTGGAGAGTTCCTTTTCTGGTCCTGTCTGTTTGGTGTTCTATACGCTTCTTGTATTTGTATGGGCATGTCTTTTTTTAATTTGGGGAAATTTTCTTCCACAATTCTGTTGAAGATCTGGTCCATGCCATTAATTTGGGATTCTTCTCCTTCACTGTATGCTTATGATTCATAAGTTTGGTCTTTTTATGGTGTCACACAATTCCTGAATATTCCATTCTTGTGATTTCTTAAATTATTCATAATCTTTGCTCGAGTGATCTAGTTCGTCCACTTTATCTTCCAGTCTTGATACTCTGTTTTCCAATTAGTTCATTCTGTTGTTGAGGCTTTCTCCTGTCATTTCTAATTGGCTTATTGACTGTTTCACTTCCTTCTTCATTTCAGCCTGAGTATTC